TTTTAATTATTACAAGTTTAGTAATTTATATATAAAAATTAATACTTGTCTTAAGAGCTAAAATTTTTTTTAGCTTCAGAAACATATAAAACTTTAAAAAACTTGAAAAATATTTTAATAGTAAACCCTAATGTTATACAATTTTTAAACTTTAATTAATCAAAAAAGTATATTGCTAAAATTAATTGTTAAGTTTTTATTATAAAAATTAATTTTAAAAAAATTAACGCAACCAAATTTGCCTATGTTACAATCTAAGGGATAATAAAAAGTGTATAGTAATTACCTTAGCTTGCATTCTTTATCTATTCAGATATTGAATTAAATTTCATTGAGTAAATGAATAGATGGCTTTAGCATGTATTTTCTAGTTAAATGCTATACTATTTAAAGAATTTATTTCAAAAATTCATAAATAACAAGGCTACAAAATAAATAATTACTAAATAGAATTATATATAACATATGATTAAATATGATTTTTGAAAAACAAAGTATAAAATAAAGAGATATAGTAATTACCTTAGCTTGCATTCTTTACTTTATTCAGATATCAAAATCAATTTCATTAAGTAAATGAACAGATAGCCTTAGCTTAAATTCTCTACTTCATTTAGTTAGACACTATACTATTTTAAAGATTTATTTTAAATTCATTAACAAACAAGGACTATAAAATAAATAAATATTCAATTAGTTTAAGCATACATGCGATTAAATATTTTAAAAAAAGAAAAAGCATAAAATAAAAGATCATTTCTTTATATAGTAATTGCTTTAGCTTGCATTCTACTTTCTTTGAATGTTGAATTAAGTTTTGTAGATGTATTAATTAATAATAGAATATAAACAAATGAAATGCCTTAGTTTGCATTTCTTATCTTACTTAGTTAGATATTATCAAATTTAATTTTGTAAAAGTTTCATGTTGATCAGTAAAAAACATGTATATAAATAATAGTTTTCCTGTTTTTAATAACTTCAGAATTTTAAATTATAATAAATAAAGAAAATAAACCAAAGTGCAAAATAAACTCACCAAATATTCTCACCTTAATTGAATTTTATAATACAGCTTATTAATTATAAAAAAATATAAAAACTCAATCTAATACCAAAGTGAAATATTGCAATAGTTGTAATCAATTTTGTCCAATTGAGACCTTTTTAAAAAAAAATAACAAAATTGGTAAAACTTGTTCAAAATGTAAAGAAAAAAAGAATCAACAAAATATACAAAAATGCACAGCCACAGATGCATTAGTAAATACAAATACTAGTCATATTGCAATGGAAGATTTTTTTCTCTTCTGAAAACTCTAAAAGGTCAAAGCTTAGAAAGTTTCAAGCAAATTATTAATATTAATGAATATATAACTTCAACTGATCCAAAAAAAATAGCAACATCCATTTTAGACAATATTCTTGCAACTATAAATTTTAAATTCATATAAAAATAAAATAAAAAATATATTCAAATTATATATATAAAAATACTAACTTTTTTTAAAGTTATAATGACAGGATTCTATTAAAGTTGAATCATCTTACTACATTTAGATATCATTATGCTTAACTGCTTGACTGACAAAAAAAGCCCAAAAAACATGATTCTACAAAACATAGGGATTGTTTACCAATAGAACATTTTCATTGTTAAGACTGGTTAATAATTACTATAGACTCAAAAAAAATGCAAGTGACAATTGAATTAACTTATAGATATTACACTGAATATGTTGATGTGCATGTTATGAATAAAGTAAAAGAATATATCTAAAATCATCTTCAACAAATGCCTTAAATTATATAAGAAAATATTGGCACAAGTATTCTGAATATTACTGAAAAACAGATATATTATTAGTAGATAAATCTTAGTCAACATATCTGGAAAAAAGACAAAGATCAAATTCAGTCAGCTATTAAACTTATTGAAATGTACACTGATATTGAAATTATGTTAAGCATTATAGATAGTGAAGTTACTATGATCAGTTTTGGAATTATAGAAATAATCAATCAGTTAGAAATGAATATGGTTGAAATTGATATAAATGTAACATATATGTATATTATTATTGTTACCAGTTAAATTTTCTTCTAAAATCCAAAACATCTCTACTTTTTTTGGATTAATTCATTCAAATCTGAAGTTTTTAAAACTTTAGGTTTCTAAAATAGCTTTTTCTAGAATGCTAAAAATTATCTAAAGCTTGCTTTATTATTTTTTATTTACTAATTTGCTATATTCAAATACAAATTTCTAAAACCTTACCAATTGAATTTCAAGTTTTATAAGCTCTGGATATTTTGTTAAATATCAAGTTCAAATTTTGAATATTGGGCAAACTTGTTTCCTCAAGATTTAAAATTCTTGAATAAAATGCTTCAGATTAAAATATATCAAAATTTATATAGGTAAAAAATAAAAATATCTTATTAATATTATTTTTATATTTTAGATAACACAAACAAAATAAATCTTGAGTTATATTCAGTATTTGCTGAGGTAGATGGAATGGAATTTCTATTGGCCTATATGCTGCTAACTATAGCAACTACTGTTAGTAATAGAATTTACAAAAAAATAATTACTTAATTTTTTGATAAGTTGTATTATTTGGGAGTCAATCTGACTTTTGAAATGACTGACAAAGATTCTGCACAAATTTTATTAGCAAAGATAATTTGGTTAGATACTCATATTCAGCTTTGTTTTTGGCATCTAAAAAGAGTAATAAAAAAGCAACTTGGGTTAAAAAGAATGTTAAAAACAACTCGATATTTTGCAGACTAGACAAATTCAGAATTTGCATTTATTGATTCTAATTTTTATCTTAAAATTACAAATAAAATGAATAAGTTAAACCAATCTCAGACTAGAAAAACAATATTTACTTTCTGCTCTCCAAAACACCATAGTAATATTATCAATCTCATAGCCAAGCACTTTAATCAACATTCTTATATTTTTGCTATTAATATGCAATATTATTCCTCAGATCAAATTTGTGAGGCTGCTATTAAAGAAATATATATATATTGCCAAAATAATGATCTTAAATAGACATGGTCATATTTGTGGATGAAGTAGTATAGTTTATTAAAATAGCCTAATTGGGCATGAAGTGCAAAAAAAGATATATCAGTATTAAAAACAACAATGATTGTAGAATCATACTAGAGACTTATCAAGCATAATTATATTTATAAATTTAATAAGCCTTGTGTCGATTTGTTAGTATGAATTTTTGCTAAACATCTTCTTTTATGCTATATTATTAAGATACAGCAGCAAGAATTAAATAATAAAACAAGAACTATTGCATCATAATGCATAACCTTTAAATATGCCTAGAAGACATGCTTAAAAAAAGAATCGATTAGTAGTTCTTATATTACTGATCCAAGAATGTGAACTTGCTCATGTTCTGCTTATCTTGACAGTCATTTTCTTTTTTGTAAACACTTGGTATGATTTGTTTATTTATTAAAACTAAATTTTTTTAATGAAGTTGAGTGCTACAGGACTTTACCTTTTTAGAAACATAAAGACCTTGTTCTATTAACTCAAGGTTTAGAACCTATTGAAGAAGATGAAGTTGATAAAACATATGAGCTAGTAGATAAAAATAAACACTATATAGATACATCAACAAAACAAGATAAAGAATTAAATAATGAAGCTGATGAGGAACTTGTAGAAGCACTTCAAGAATATGAGAAAGGTGAGAATAGAATTATTAATAATATAATTCTTGAGGAATTTAATCAGTCATAGGAAAAGACTAATAATCATATTGCGAAAAAACTTCAAAAATGTATTGATCTATTAAAAAGTCAGAAACAATATAAAGATGTACAGTTCTTGCAAGCAGCAGAAGATGTAATAAATGGCATGAAAAAAATGTTAACCAAATGTGAAATACTAAGAAATAGAAAAACACTACTGAAAACATAAAGAGATTATAATAAACAAATAATGTTCTACAAAATAACATAAACTATAAATGTATTAGTTATATTATATGTAATAAAAAATATTATGCTATGTTTATTTATATGATAAAGTTGTAATTGTAATAATATATTAATATTACTCTACCTTATTCAGGTAGTTAGTAAAGTAGTTCTGTACTATTATACAAATATATACAAATATACAAAAATTAGGCAAAATTTTGATAATACATATGATTAATGTAGGTTTGTAAAATTAATTTTTATAAGTCCATTATCCTTTATTTTGCACAAGGATGTGACGAATCATTGGGTGTGGCTAATAAGCATTAGTTAATATAATTATTTAGCAAATGCTTACTTACCATACTAATAATTTATTATATTCTTATGCCAAATAAAAAAGAAGACCTAATTCTTTACAAATAGACTCTTTTTTCTTTTTTTAATATTTAAGATTAGAGCAAGTGTGAGCATTGTTCTTCTTTTATATAAGGTTATAGAAAAATTAGCTTTGTTTTGAAAGAATTTTTTCTTTTACAAACCATATGTACTATCATGACTTCTATATGTTTGTCTCAATTTCTGTACTAATTCACTATATATCCATATTACTCTAGTTATTTGCATAGTAATTATGAGTCATTAATAAATTTAAATATAATGCAATAAATAAATAAAAGAAATAAAAAAATAAATCTTCACTTCTATGTATTAATAATTTTTTATAATTTGAGATTTTAAAATAAACTTATAACTATTGTGAGCAAAACATCTTGCAGTACTCTAGATCTGGATACTATTGCTTAATATTTCAAAAATAATCTACTTTTTAATGAGTATATCAGTATTAGCTAATAAATATAAAGTTTTTAGTAGTTAAATATAATATATATACACATTAAATTGTCTGAACAAAGCCAATCAAAGTTTTATGAATTATAAAAGGAAGTGAATATGATAATGATTATATAATAATTTTAACTAAAAAAAAAACTCAAAAAATACTTAACTGCTTTAGTATTTTAGGTATTTTAAAAATATATGTTTTAGAATGTTTTTGAATATTTGAAATCAATCCAAGTTCTATTAAGATAAATTTTAAAGACAATCATTTTAAATATAGAAGTTATATGAATATAGAAAACTTAAGATAATTATCATGTGTGGTGAAAATTTCTTGTAAAAGAGCTATATAACTTATATTTAATGTAACCAGTATTATGAATAAAAATAAAACCCAGAACTGATTTCATTATATTTATTTAAGATTTTTTTTCTTGACTATAAGTCTAAATTTATATATATGTTTATTATTGAATTAGATTAAACCCTAAATCAAAAAAGCTTTAACTTAAATTAACTAAATAATGTTAGATATCAAAATTTTAAATTGCCTAGCCATAACTTATGACTAATGATGACTGATTGTAACCAACTATTAATATTCTTAATTGTTATATTAAACACTACACAATAAAATAGTTATTATATGTCATTATAACATATCTCATGATCATTAGAAATTGTAATTATTGACTATTATAACATTATAATCTTGCATAAAAAAAAACTGTTAACTATAGGTTACTGTGCCATATAGGATTATTATGACATCATAATTTTGCATGAAAAAAAACTCATTGAATATAGATTACTGCACCATATGAAGCTGTTATGATATCATAATCTTGCAAAGAAAAAATCATTAATTATAGATTACTGCATCATATAAGACCATTATGATATCATCTGTAAGAAGATTTTTAGAAAGTTCCAAATATCCAGATCTGAGAAGAGGACTATAATTATATAATAAGTGATAGTTCCCTAATAGACTGATTATAGTCTTATATAAGCTATTTGAATTAGAAATCTGATGAAAAGATAGAAATATACTAAAGTATTAGAGATATATTGTAAAGTAGATGCTGAGATCTATGTGAACTCTATAAGGGCACAATAGTTTAATGGTTAATCCTAACTGCAAGTATTGGTTTTACTATAATAATATCAGAACAACTATAAAAATAAATACAGAAGATTCTAAAAGATTTACTTTAAGGATAAAATAGTCTTAAGATTAAGATGATAATCTGAACATCTAAATATAATCTAGTAAAATTAACACAGATTGTAGATTCAAAAAGTTTAAAATAGAACATTCAAGCAGAGGTGTTAGATATAACAATTGATAAAAAACCTTCAAATAAACTCCTTAAATAGGTAATATAGAAAACTTATACATGTAGCCAATTGTATGCTCTTCTGTAGTGATTCACTGAATCACATTACCAAAAAAAATTGTTAATAAAAGTCAAAAGACCAAAGAGATCACCTTAACATCCAAAAAAAAAAGACTACCAAAAAATTAAAAAAAATTTTAAATTATTATACTAAACAAGTTTATTTAAACAAAAAAAATTTTAACTTTACATATAACTAATTTAAGATAATTTAATTTTGTCAGAGTAAGGTTGTTAAGAATATAATTTTACATATAATAATCATTTCAAAATTAAAAAATAATATTTTGATAAAGTTACAATTTAAAATTATACAAAATTAACAAAATTTCAACTTATATAATCATAAACTTTAATTTAAATTATTTAATTAGTGAGATGGAAATCTTTAGCTCAAAGTTTATAGTAAATTTATATGGTTTTACTATAATTTTTATTATAGACAACATTCTAGAAGAAATGTCCTAATTCTGCTATAAGTTTTTTTGAAAATTTTCTAAAAAATGAAACGTTTTTAATTGTATTGTTTTATTCTATGCAAAAAAATTTTATTCTTAAGATTATATTTAGTTTTATGATACTGTAATTAATTAATTTTGCAATATGTAAAAAATATTTTTTTAAAGAAAATTTATCTACCGTCACGTACTTTTATTTGTTTAAATTTTATGTTAGGTCACAAAGTTAATTCTTGGTTCTCATAACATAAAAAGTGACCCGATACCTGGCTTTCAATTTTATTTTCAAAATACTATATAGTAAAATTTTTAAATTTAGTGAGACTTTACCCGGTCGGGGATATGAGAACAAAAAATTCACTTTGTTTGGCATTATCTCTTGTTATTATGTAAATTTGTATGGTTCATAACAGTTTCTTTGAAAAGTATGGATTAATTAATATGATATGTTAGGTTGTCATTACATGTCATAAACATTATAAAGCCGTTAATAACCAAGCATATATTATAAGAGCTATCATTTTTGTTTACAAGTTTTTCGACACTTCTTTAAGCCATACTTGGATATGTATACTAGAGTTGTTTCTAGTTTGAACTTCTAAGTCCTTATCCTTTATGTAAAGAAAGAGAATTGTTAAAATTACTACGGATAAATCAACTATACTTGAAAAGGAAAGCGATCCTTACATCATCTTCAGGAATAATATCATCAATCAGTTCAACTGTATCAGTGGTAGCTTTGTAAGTAATTTGGTTATGAGTTAAGTCTTTTAAAGCCAACACTAGATTAATTGATTTTGGAATCGCAGCTCCTAAGCCATGAATTGTTATTGAAGAGTGGCTAAAATTGAGTTATAGTAGTTGATTTTGATATCTGAGGGAATCTCGTGAATTAAGATTTGTAGTTACCCATCTTTCATTAAGAGTTTTTTTGCCCGCTGTAATTGTCCTTTAAAATTTGAAGAGCGAGAAACGTAAATATCCGTCGGAATTGTCGCAGGACGTTGCGGGTTTCTTTTTTTTAAAGCTATGAAAGTAATCAGAAAATTTTAAAATTAGATTATCGTCGATTAAAATTTATGGATTTTAAACGATTTTCATCACCACCGTCGATTGGATTTTTATCGATTATAATTGATATAAATCATTGCTATCGATTATAATCAATTAGATTTATATCGATTTTTATCATTAACGAGTATTATATGAATCAATTATCAACACCACCGTCGATTATAATCGCTTAAAACCAATCGATTAACTGTTTGCAACTGATCATAATCAGGCTTTAAAATTTCCTCATGGTAAAAAGTCGATCACGTTTTTTTTGTGAATTTTATATTCAGGTGGGAAGAGAGGTTAATTAATATTTTAATTCAGGAGGGAGAGGACGTTAACTTGAAACTTAATTTAAATGGCTTTGCGTTCACACAAGAAAAAAAAAATTTACTTTGTGAATGTTGGGATGTATTTTGTGAAGCCTGAACATGTTTGTTTTTTAATTTTCCCATGTTTGAAGGAAATATTATTAGTGACACAATTCGAAATTGGTTAATTGAAAGTTGGTCAAGTTGGTCGAGTTAATAACTAATCGATTTAGAACTTTCGAAGAAATTAAATCGTTAAATGATTATCTACATTTTAACCAATTAAATTAAGGTTAGACCCGGATTACAAATTAAGAGTGGTCCCGTGCATAATAAATAATTTTTTTAAAGTGCTAAAGTACGAGTTAATAATCAAATTAAGTCAGAAATACCTGTATGTAATTTCGGGAATGAAGATTCTAACAAAATTGGTTAACACCTCATAAACAGGAAAAAATTATCTTTATCAAAATTTGCAGTGAGTTTTATTTTCCCAAAAAATGGACCTAAAGAGGAACTTTTACATAAAATCCCAACAACAGATAATTAAACGAATACTAATAACATCGAATTTTGGCAAGAATTAAAAATTAAGACTTTTAAAAGTCGAACGGGATGCTTAAATTAAGATTTCACCAGACTAGTCCTATTCCTAACGTAAGGATTTATTTAAAATATTTAAAATATGCACTTTATCGTTATTTGATCGGTACGTATAGATTAGTCGATGTTATTGGAGTCTCCGGACGA